GTACTATCAATTCTTCATTTTCGGTACTTTTGAGCTTAAGACTCAGCGGCAGTATTTCCCGCCAGTTATCAAGACTTGTTGGTACTTGTATGAGAATGTATCTAACTAGCTGATGTAGCAAGATGGGTGGACCACTGAAAATTAATGGCGGGTTAGTTGCATATATACGATAGTCGTGTCTTCACTTACATAACGGTACGCCCCACAAGGTTGACCATCTTCGCAACGCTAAATCAGAAGACACAGCATGAGCTATCCATAACCAGCCAACAGGGGGGAATAAATAGACACGAACCTTGGTGCATTTGCTCTCATCACTCTTCTTTGCGGCGAATGGCATCTTGTCGCCACATGCTGCATAGAAAATTAGTTTTGTCAAATATTCACGAGCAATTCAGAGTCGTACCGCAAGCCTAAGAATAGAGATGAGCATGGAGTCACAAACCATGAGATGAAATGAGTTGCGTACCGTTCTGACGTCAACCACACCATTCAGGCCGTAGTTTTCCTGACCAAGAAGTGCCACTGGCAAACCACGAGCTCGACAGGCAGTGGTACATTTGTCCAGGGTCATGTGGTGCACCGAGTTATCGTCAGTCAGAGGAAGGATATAATTTCCACTATCCCTAAAGACTTGGATTCAACCGAGGAGTCTCTCTGTAGCTAATGAGGAACACTTACCCGTAGCACCCTTGATAGGTATAGACGTCTCCGGGACTAGGGGCTGGATAAACGCGGCCAGTAACTTTACGCGACCAGATACTCCACTAGATGGTATTGAACGCATGTACAGGGTGCGTTAGAAGTAGACTCTTACCGCTGTTTGAGTAGAGCCACCGCAGATCTCGTTCCTATTGCCTCGACAGGCCTTGATAGACATTTAGAAGGTGCAATATAAGTAAATGTATTTCGTACCGTTGCGCATTGTAGGGGAGGGAGAGTCTCGGGGATAACGTTGACGCATTCTAGTCATATTTGAGCCGCAATGAATTGGTATAGAATGCTAAACATACGACAGAACTAGATATTCGGATAAGAATGAGCGTGAAATGAACGTGAACGATGAATACTCACGGTTCCTTGATTGGTGGCGGCCACCGAGAATCCGTCCTGCTCGCACATTCGCACACACGTTGTCATAGATGCCCAGTTTTGCATCCAGTAGAAGTTACCTGGAACATACGTATAGATGCTATGCATGAATGGTGGTTAGCAGGCTTAGACTGAATACAAGTACAGAAATACATACTTTGAACAGCTAGCGGAAGCCCAAGCTTCGTAACCATCAGGTATCATTGGTTCTGGCTCTGGCTCTGGCTGGGGCTCTGGTTCCGGCTCTGGTTCAGGTTGAGGTTGAGGTTCGGGTTCGGGTTCGGGTTCGGGCTGAGGTTCGGGTTCAGGTTGAACTTGATATACGCTTAGCTGAGACGATCGATAAGTGAATTATACTATCTTAGAAATAAGAAATCATACCCTATTGCCTCCTCCGCAAATCCGCGTCGAGTCCCCTGCACATGGCTGATACGAATAAGCTTCTCATCTCTACTCTGATAATCATTTGCTTACCATAGCGCAACCTTCGGTAGCCGCCTGGCTAGGGAGAGCATTTCCGCAATCTGCGTACTCGTGAGCTACATCCACAGTCCACTCTCAGCCACGCCACTTACAGCACTCCTATTTCAGTGGGTGAGTAAACCGTACAGCAAAACGATTGCATAGAAACTCACCGATGCGTATTCTAACCCAGCGACCGTGAATCCATCAGCCTTGCACGCGTCGATGCATTTTTCGACCGTCATCTGGGCGAGTCCTATCGTGGTCGGGAGCGCTCTTGCTCCAGATTGGTCCCTGTTCTCATTATAACCGTCAGAATTCGTGCAGAATGAGTAGAGTGTACGTACACAAAACAACCCGCAGACTGCCATTCGCCGTAAGATTCCAAGAGCGTGGCAGCTGTTGGAAGGTCGTTGTTCATGTATTGGTAGACGGTGAGCTAGAAGGGTGGATATTAGGGTATGGAAGAGTTTTGGTAGGAGAAGCCATTTACCCTGTTTCCGCCTCCGCATAGCTGGGAAGAATCTCCCTCGCAAGGCTGATATCGTCAATATCATCTTTGATTCTAAATGACACGACCCACCGTGGTGCACCCATCTTGTGCTAGAGATCCGCCCACTGTATTCGAGCAGTCTGCCGAAACCATCAGACTGATAGGTGTGTCTGAGTTGTGACAACTTACAGCATTCCTGCCAAAGAGGTTAGCATTAGTCAAACCCAGATCGAGTAATGAAGTGAAGGACCCACATTGGCGTATTCCAGACCGGCATACTTGTATCCACCTTCGAAGCACTTGTTAACACACTTGTTGATGGTCATCTGGCCTTCGACCCACACGCGAGGGGAAAGAGTACGAGAATCAATCGAGTCACTGTCAGACGGTCAGAACTGGCATGAAAAATAGGCGGAGAAATCTGACGTATAACAGCCCTGAGAGGCCCAATCTCCAACATTTTGAGGGGCAGAAGCGCTAGGTGTCATGTTGTTCCCGGAATATTCGTAGATGTTGATCTGCGTTCGGTTCTCAGTTAGAAAATGAAACACTGCCAGCTAGACATATGGACGTACCCTGTTACCTCCGCCGCAAATCTGAGTCGAATCTCCACTGCATGGCTACAGAAACACCAGATTTAATCAAGAATTGGAGGCATTCCCAGCGGTAGCTTACCATGGTGCAGCCGTCGGTTACAGACTTGCCAGTACCAGCGATCGAATTCGAGCAGTCTGCATCCTACCGTCAAAAAGAGAAAGCGACCAGGTCGAGAAAGAAACTCACAGCATTCCTATAGTCATGTAATCCATTGATGAGACCGGTTATGGTTCAGAAAGTAAATGACTTACTCCACCATACTCGACTCCAGCATACTGGAATGATTTCTCGAAGCAAATCGCCGTGCATTTTTCGATAGTCGTTGTTCCATCGACATTGAATTGATTGACAAGAGTCCGAGCGTCCATAGAGTCGCTGATAAGATTGGTATCAATAACTTGCGAGCAATGTGACCTGTGAAGGTGGTTGTACTCACGTGTAGCATCCCTTTCCTTGCCAGTTACCGACGGCATCTAACCCAGGCGACACAGGAGCCACCGAGCTTTCGTACAGAATGAGCTGTAGGTGCAGAGTTATTCGACTGAGAGAATAGAACTGGTCCTCGACGAACCCTGTTGCTAGCACCACAGTATCGAGACGGATCCCCATCGCAAAGCTATAGAGACGAGCAGTTAGATACATAACCCTTTGTACAAAATCCAAAATGGAATATCACGAACAGCGCTACATTCGCCCATATCTTTCGAGGTCAGCGTATTCACATTGATACCATTGGCGCAGTCTATTATGATGTCAGTGAAGTTGTTAGAAACGAGGAAAGTATCGACAAACAGCATTCCTGTGTAAATGTGTCAGCGGGACTTGTTATATCTGCTCAATGCGACGTGGACTGACATGCATATACTCGAGACCCGCATATTGGAAACCTTGAGATGCGCACGCGTCCAAGCATTTTTGGGCCGTGAACGGTGCTGGGACATAGACGGGATTTGGCAGAATGCGAGTGGCCATATCATCTCTGAGGACGGTATATCAATACTTTCCTATTCTCTCGACAAATTATCAACATACTCGTAGCATCCCGA